AACCAGGGTAAGTATCTTCTGTTGGAAGAGTCAAACTTGACTCAAAAGTGACTTTTTCGGTTTTTCCGGGATTCATTGAACAAAAAAGGAGGGTGCTCTTAATGTTGAAGTCACAAAGTATGTTTTGCTCAGGTGAAAAGTGTCAGGAATCAGAAAGATCTTCAGGTTAGGAAGATTTTAATTCCACTTTGGCAAAAATAAAATACGTTCAACCATATAATCCTCAAGGCAAAGTTCACAATACTTGAAAGTGGGAAACAGAAAGTAGAGAGTCCTTATATCAACAAGTAAATATTTTGTTACCAGCAATTCTTTTTTAAAAAATGTTTTATCTATCAGTTGGAAAGTATAAAGTATCAAAAAGTAAAAACAGGTACTTCTCACAAACTTACTGGGTTTTTTCTCCATCTTTCCTGATGAAGGCTTCCTGAAAAGTTTTGCACATTGTTTTTAAGCCTTCAGTCATATTATTTTAGTATAATTTTAAAGGACCTGAGAGAATTTTAAAATCACTTAGAGCAAATTGGCATCAGTGTGCAATATTTTAATCAGTTTGATTCATTTTTTTAACGGGGCTACAAATGATGTGGCAACTGATGTGTTTTTTAAAAAAAAATACACACATTTTAAATAATATACATGGCTGCCATCTTCTGTTTTAAAAGTAAAACTACACCTAAATTGAAAAATCAATGTTGAACTAACCAATAGATAATTAAACCCACGCTATATTGTTCAATCATTTTCACCAGGGTTGCTTGTCCTTGGTCAGTGCCTGAGTGGCTAGTGGTTCCAAGGTGCTCCTTGATTATTCTTGTCCTCCTAGCTGCATGTTATCACTTTGTGAGTGCCTTTCCAGCTCTCTTCCCAACATTACCTGTCACTTAGCAATATTTTACAAAAATTCAAGCAAACCTGGAGTTTCAGAAAACTGAATCAATGACCTTGCAATTACTGTATGCATAATTATATTATCTATATGGCATTAGCCCACTGATTAAATGAGGCCACCATTTGAGATGCTGGTCCATGCATTCCACATCTAATAGAAGGCATAGGGTGGAGATTTGGAAGAAGGTCCTATCATTTGCATGACACATCACCAAGTTTAAAGCTACTACTTAAAATGCATTTAATCTGTTGGCTTTTCCTGTTTCACTGAATAATTGTATTTTTAATTACATGTCTAACCTTCATAACACCTCTTATACTAAAAGCAAATAAAAAATACAGTTTCTTACAGAAGACATCAAACGTTCTTGCTTTGCTTTACTCTCTCAAAATAGACTACTACAGCGTATTTTTCTTTTCAAATAAACCTTTTAAAAGGGGTCAAACATGAAAGATATGTCCTTCCAGGTTCATTCTGGGAGTAAAGAAATACAATTCAGTTGTCATTATAGAAGTTTATTTGTATAAACAACAGGTCACATGACATAATTTATATTCTTTGTTTTGACAAGTTTTCTTACAACACCTGAGTTATTTAAATACTGAGATAGGGAAAAAGCCTCAATTTTCTAAGAAAAGTTCAAATCAAATATTTGCTCACAATTGGTCAGTTTTGTTTTTCCCTTCTACTGGATAGGCATTTCCGGCACAAACTAGAGAAAATGGTACTTTATTTGCACATTCTTACAAATGTCCATTATTGCAGTGGTACACAATGTAGTCCCCAGCCTCCTCAGAGCCTTTAATAAATACGAAGTTTACAAGCTTTGTCCACTGAACTTAGTAGACCTAACTGCACATCCAGTCTGCCGCATACCATTTCAGATAACCATTTTCAGATAACCATTTTCAGATAACCATTTGAACTGTCAAACTAAACCGGTGCTCCTTTGTCTATGAGTGAGCTTAGCTCCACACCAAAAGGAAACTCTCATAATGTATTTAAGTAATTGTATTGAATAGCTAGATACTACTTATTCTAGGAATTTGTACATGTCTAGTGAAGCTAGTGGAAAAGACAACAGGTATCTCCCCTATTTAAATACCGGGTTTTTATCTTCAAATAATTTCGACATGTAGACATTGATCTGGCTATGTCAGAATTCAGAGCAGCTGCAGCCACTTTGCTCTTAGCTAGAGATTCACCACCTTCTTATAATTCTGGGAAAGATTGATGCCTTCAAAGCAGCTAATTCCTACGCAGAAGTTAGGAAGTGATGCTGTAAGAATTATCAATCTACTTTCAAGTGAAAAATAAAACCCCACTGTACAAGACTAGAGTATTCAGTTTTGGCCTTTTGGGGAGTAAAGAAGACTCATTTTGATATATTAGTAACATGCAGAGGACGAAACTACCTAAAGTTACAGCATTAGAAGAGCGAAATGAGGGATCTCCAGCTAAGGCTTATTCGGTCCCAGTTATGTTTAAAAGCTTTTTCTATATCAGAGGTCCCCAAACTTGGCAACTTTAAGACTTGTGGACTTCAACTCCCAGAATTCTCCAGACAGCATAGCTGGAGAATTCTGGGAGTTGAAGTTCAGAAGTCTTAAATTTTCCAAGTTTGGGGACCTCCTGTTCTATATGGACTGTTATTTATTTGTTAATTTATATAGCTTCTCGTGTCACGAAACAAGTGACCCTGTCAGTACAACAAAACTAAATACCTAAAACAATTTTCATTATTAAAAATTCTAACAACGAAGCGAAGAAGTAGTAGGCAAAGGGATATTAATGATAACGGATTATTCGTGTTATTCTGTCTCACTAACTCACCGGTCTCCTGACCACCAGGTCTTGAGGGAACATTGGAAGCTCAGAAATATGGAGCCAACCTCATGCCAAGATGGACAATATGCCGCAATCTATGTGCCACAGCAGAAAAGGTTCACCGCCTAAGGCAGGGGTATCTAACCTGAGCAACTTTAAGAGTCGTGGACTTCAGCTCCAAGCCATGGGCTGGCTGGAGAATTCTGGGAGTTGAAGTCCCCAGGTCCTCAAGTTGGCTCTGGCCTGGGGCCTGCCAAATGTAGTTCCCAAGGCAACGGAACCTCTGTAAATGCCCTCTCAGCTGCATCTGGTGGGACGGACAAGATGGAATTGAGAAGAGGTGGCCCCATGCCACGTAGGGCTTTAAAGGTCAACCCCAGCGCCTTCAATTGGACAAACTGGGAATCAGGGCGTCCTGTTAAGCAGAGGTATAACATGTGTCCTACCAGAATATAGATAAGATGCTTTAGGAACGACAATATGGGAATAAGTGAGAAAACTATTATTGGATGGAGTGAAGCGGGTGGCTCTCAACAATGTGGACTGGATCAAGGGAACAATGATGATTTGATTTAACAGATTGACAGAGTTGGGACCTTGTAGGTCATCTAGTCCAACCCACCCAAGCAGGAGACCCTATACTATTTCTGACAGACAATCAAGCAGCATATTCAGCTTCTCTACTCAAAATGGCAACTAGGGTCATGCAGAGTAGTAGTAAACCTGGCAGTTTCTGTTTACTGTAGCCCTATTAGATCAAATGAAAGATGATCAATGCTACGAGGGGCTTCTCTAAAGGTAAACATAGCACTTTATTAACATAGTTTAGTGAGGAAACTCAGATGCCTCTTTGGGGGCATTTCACTTTTATGCATCTCACCTAAAGGATCTCAAATTCCTAGGCCTGCTTAAATACTGCCTTTTTTTTTTTTACAGGACAGGCTAAAACAGTAGATTTGATCAGGAGGTTACATTTGGATTAAAAAAAAGGCCTGCACAGCCATTTGAATGTACTGCATTTTGAAACCTCAGTTGCATTAAACTGGAGGCCGAAAGCCTGCTGTCGTCATTATATTTCATAGGGGTTTGCATTGCAAGCCATCTCAGAGGGACTGAGTCCTCTTATCTGAGCAATCAACCATTTAAGAGCCAAAATTGAGCAAAACACCCTTCCAGTTAGCCACAGTGGCATGTATAGTCTTTTATAAAGTGGTGAGCGAGTGGTATGGATGAGTTGGTGACCTGCAGTTAAGTTTAGCTTTGCCTTCCACTGTCGCTCCAATGGGCCTCCTTCATTTCTTCTTTTTTAAGAAGACTTGTGCATAATTTGAAATTATAGGCATGGCATCTCTAAGCATGGCCCTTAAGAAGCAACATGAAGACTGTGACAGCCACCAGTTGAATTTTCAGTAGGCTTAGAACAGGGGTCCCCAAACTTGGCATCTTTAAGACTTGTGGACCAACTCCCAGAATTCCGGGAGTTGAAGCCCACAAATCTTAAAGTTGCCAAGGTTGGGGACCTCTCTAAGGCTTAGAAGGTATAAATTAGTTTTCCCTGGACAGTTTTCCACTTGGTTCTTATCTTGAACCAATGAGGAAAAGATCGATCTGCCATACAGTTAACTCAATCGTAGCTGCCAATGTCAAGTTACACGGATCGTCCTGAAGTACTACATACTTTTCAGTTACAATTTATTGAAGAGAAAGTAAACTAATTCATGTCAGGCAGATGTGGACCCCAATTTGATGCAACCATCAGGGTTTTCACACAATCTATGAGAGAGAAGGAAGCGTCACAGACTGCTGAGTGCTTCTGAACAAATCAAATCTGATTTTGCAAAAGAACGTCTTAGTGGATCCCACTCGAATTGCAAAGAATAAAGAAATGTCTTTGGAATTTGCTACTTCCACACCGAAGTCTCAATCTGATGCTCCAGAGAAAAGGGGAATCGGTACAACTTATGCGTAAAATAGAACAGAATTATTCAGCTGCACAAGTTTGGCTTAAAAGGGTACTTTCCCTAGCTGTACTGAAAAGAACCGAGTTTCCTTTTGCTGATACAAGCGTAACCGTTTTAAATGTTTAAAGAGGGTGTGTGAGATGTGAATAATGTGCTACACACTTAAGCTGACAGGCTTGATCTTATCAATATGATAATACATCAGTTCACCTAGTGACTCTGGGAAATTTAACCCTGCAATAAATCTCTCCAGCAAATTCTTCAAATTTAGGCTTCATTTCCATAAACAATCCCAATATCTTCACACCAGCCAGAGGATGCAGTCCAACTACTTCATACATCATTTCTTTCCAGATATAAATAGACTCCACACTGGCCAGATTTATCCTACACAAAATCAACTTGCAAAATAGCAGCTGCGTGGGCCAGCCTGCGGGCGAATCTTTTGAAGGAAATTAAAGAAGGAGATGTTAACGGAAGGGCTGAAAAAGATATCCCTTTTGAAAACAAGAGGGGAAAGAGGGCACCAAAAGGACTTCAAAATGTGTCTTCCAGGATGGTCTTTTTCTTTTTCTTTTTCTTGGGAGTCCGAAATATATAACGATGCCATTTGAATAAAGGAATTTTAAGTCAAGTTGTCCCCACATACATTCCTACGTAAACTAGAGCTCACTGCATTCATTGGTACGAATTTTCAATATAACATGTTCTTTCATGTTTGGACGGTGCACAGGTCACAAAAAGCACTTTTCCTTTCTCACACAAAAATGTAATTTAGCAGAGTGGAAGAGACCACAGCGATTTTCTAGTCTAACCCATGCTTAAGGCCAATTTCCCCCAAACAGTTCTCTAACCTGCTGTAATTTTTAGTTCTGATTTCCCCCACCCCCTGAAGCCACCTAATTTTCTAAAATTTGGAGTGACTCCAACCAACCAATTAACTGACCCAAAACTGATGCAGAGCTTAAAATTTAAAACATTACTGTCCTTAGTAATCGGGGTGTGGAAGTGGGGGGAAGGCATCCTGCTAGCCAATTTGCTGGTATTTTTGTAGCTTTAAAAGGGATATGCACCAAGCTACTTGTGCCTGGGAAGGAAGCAAGAATAATGCAACATCAGGAAATTAGAAGCCTTTCTTCACCGATTCCATCCAAATATGGGGGGGAAAAAAGAGAGAGAAAAGGGTAGGAAGGAGAGACAAATGCTGTTGTAACTTTAAGAAATGATTCCCCCAGTCGTTTAATTGCTAGAGAGAAAAGTTGTCAGCCTGTGCAGGTTGTCAGTCCAATAAGAAATCTAAGAAGCAGGCTGAATAAACATGTCCCTTCCTGAAATCCTTGACAAAAAAAATAAATAAAAAATAAACTGTGCTTAGCAGAGTCCACAGACCTGGAGTTTTTCAGCCTCTACCCGAGCTGGATTTCTCCCGAGAACATAGTGAGCAACACCATGATAGTGAATCCCGTCAGCAGTCCAGCGTTCTGAATCGCAAATGCAATCAAAGCACTTCCACTCCTCTCGTCTTCTTTGCTGACTTCGTTCATCTCTGGGAACTTATAAATTAAGAAAATTAATTAGAGGGGCTTTCGTTTTATTATTATTTTCCTCGTTTCGTTTTACAGCAAGGGTGTCAAACTCAAGGCTCGGGGGGATCGGATCCGGTTCGTGGGGTGCTTCGATTTGGCCCACGAAGCCACCCTGGAAACAGCAAAAGGACCGGCCTGCAGTGCTTCTGCCAGTGACAACGGAGCTCTGGAGGGCCCTCCCGAGCTCCGTTTTCGTTGGCAGAGGGTTGCAGGAGACTATGGCAGCCAAAAACGGAGCTCGGGAGCCCGTTTTCACCACAGGCGCCCCGACATGAGTGATGTCGAGCTGGCCACGCCCACCCCAACTGTCAAGCACAACCCTGATGCAGCCCTGAATGAAATCAAATTTGACACCCCTGTTCTTAAAGCAATTGCGAAACTTTTGGGGGGGGGGGGGGTTTGTAAAACAAACAGCCGTCAGATCTGTGTATCTGTCATTTCTTCAATGGAAGAAGAAAAGGGGGGGGCGGAGACTGATAAAGAAATCTTTCTTGATGTAACCTGAGTATATTTAATTTTATATCGAATTTGCATAACCTACACATGATACAATGGAGAGATGAAACCCAGATGGCCGGAACCTATCACCTCTGGGGGAGACAGCCAGGAGATGAAGAGACCATAAAAATTCCACAGTGAGATGTGTCCTGGGAAACCCTGGAAAAGATCGTTCTAAAAAGGGGGTGAAGGGGAATTAACATGTTGACTCTTTGTTTTACTGAATACACATCAAGATAAGGGGAGGGGTTTTAAACTCCCTTATCTATCTCTGCATGCCTGAGAGACCTTAGATGCTGCTTTTAATCCCCACATGAATTGTCTCATCTCAGTAAAGGATTCCTTTTGATGTGTTTTTGATACGTTTCCAGAAGTTCATTCTAGTTGATTGAATGGGAAGAGTTCTGTAACCTGACAACAGCATTCATTCCAAAGTGGCCCAGTGCGGAATAAACAAGCCATTTTAAAACGTCCAGATATGGTTAGCTGTGATCAGACATTACAGCGAAGGCCTTAGCTTCTCACAAATGAGGGCAACTAGACGTGTCCCAGGATAATGTTGCAGGATCCAGTCTGGGTCAGGGGTTTATTCTTCTGAGCTTTTGGACTTGTGCTAAAACCCATCTTCAAGAACCTCTCTCTAGAAGAGGGCGTACTTCTCTCTACATTCTGGTAAAGAGGATTTTCCCTGAGGATCGGCTCCAGCACAATGGTGGGATTCAATTTTTTTTACTACTATTTTTACTGGGCGTGGCTTGGTGGGCGTGGCAGGGGAAGGTTACTGCAAAATCCCTATTCCCTCCCCACCCCATTAACCTGCTTTCCAGCTCTGTTCTCCTGTGCAGGGGAACAAAAGAAGACCCAGCCAATCAGCTGGGACTCGGGAGGCGGAGAATAGAAGGGGGAGGGGCCAGTCAGAGGCGACATTTGCCAGTTCTCCGAACTACTCAAAATGTCCGCTACTGGTTCTCCAGAACTGGTCAGAACCAACTGAATACCACCTCTGCGTCTGAACGCTTGGAAGATTAAACCTCTGGTCCCAGTAACCGACCCAGCTTAGCTTCTGTTGTTTGTTAGGTATGTTATAGAAGAGAAGTTTTAAAAAATAGTGGCTTTTCGGCCAATTCTTGGTTTTGTTTGGCTTCCTTTTTTCAGCTCTGTTTGCATCTTTGTAGAATTATGAGAGACTAATGTGCAGGGCATAGCAACAAACCAGCAAAGTGAATACAAACCATGCACGTTTTTACAGGTTATGGCTATTTACAGTTGCAATTGGCGATCCAAGCCTAACCTTAGATTTCAAGGTGTTATTTATTAACCTTCAAACAAAGAACAGTTTATTCCCCAACCCTTCCACACTGCTTTGCATGATGTATGAACAGACTGAAACAACCTGAAGGACTAAATTTGCAGTTACGATTTTAAAAAAATCGAGACTTTGTTTATCCAACGATTTGCTGGACTGGGGCTGTTGATGCCAAAATGTATCTATGGCAGCCCTTGCAAAAGTCTCACATTAGTCACTTGGCACTAAGAAAAAGAGGGTAAAGGATTATGTTTGGAATGTAAAGGTTGCAGTCCAGGGGCCTGAGATATCTACAAAAAATGTTGGCTTATCATTTTGCATTTTGGGAGAGTAAGACGAAAGTCTTGTTACTTTTCCTTTCTTCAAGTAGAATGATTATTCAAATCCCAAACCCCATCAAATCTTCTAGAACGGTTGGTCTTTCTTGTTGTGGCCTGCCAGCGGCCAGCAGAGCTGGCAGCAGACTCAGACAGTGGGGAGGTTGGGGAGGAACGTGGGCCAGTCCTGGAGTCTGGGGAAGGCTCTGATGAGGGCTCTGCATTGGAGGCAGAGATGGGGCCAGGGCTGTCTGACCTTTACCAGTTGCCTTCAGAGTCGGAGATCAGTGGGGCAGAAGAACAGCTGGAGCCTGTTTCCAGTGTGCGCATGCACAGAGCTGCCAGGAGAAGGGAACAGCTAAGGAACAAGGATCGGCTCGGGAGTAAAGGCACAGGTGGACAGTAAATGGCCCCTCCCATAGGGAATAAAGAGGAGAAAAGGGGGAGTTGTGTTTGCAGGATTAGTTCAATTCATTAGGGTGAAGATTTATTCCTGACTTCTTGCCAAGAATTGTCTGATACAGAGTGGTGTTTGCAAGATATCGGTCTGGCAACTCTCCCAGCCTGACAAAGGTCTGTAGTGGTGCAATCTCTTATGCATCGAAGGCAAATTCCTTGTGTGTCCAACCACATTTGTCCAATAAAGAATCCTAGTTCTAATTAGAGCTCGCAATTGGGCCCTTAGTTCAGGTTTTGCCAAAATAAAGTATTGTTCAGGAAGGAGTCAAGATCTGTTTTGTGCAAGAAGATTTCAAGTTCTTATACCTCACCCAATCAGATCTCCTTTATATAAGTTTCAGACTCTGGGTAAAATAAGCCAAATAGTCTTACTATCCTGGCTAAAGGGGAAGTATAGGAGTTGTGGCTCCAACCTATCAGAAGGAAACCCGATGATTTCTTTTACCTGCCTACCACTTACCATGTCAGCCAATGCAATGTAGAGAAACATCCCGCCTGCTAGAGCGAAGATCCAGTTGGCTGAGAAGTGGCTGCCGGCCAATATCCCAAAGCCCAGGCCCAGGTAGCAACAGCAAGCAGAGAGGAAGTTGAAGAAAAGGGCTTGCTGGATTGTCATCCCAGAATTCAGCAGAATGACAAAATCTCCTGCAAAGAGGAACCACAGTTCCAAAGAAGTTTTAGAAGGAAAGGCATTGAGTTTGAAATTGGCAGAATCAAAGCTTTGAAGAGCTGCTGCCCAATACATTCATCCAAAAGCATTTGGCATTTTTCAGATCAACTCTCCCATATTAATGATCAACACATGTTTCTGCTCGGGGTGGGATACGATAGGGTTAACTACCAGTTCGGGATTTACGAGCTTCCCTGCAGGCTGCGAGCTGCGCCCCTGTAAATCGTCATCAGCAGCTGCCTGCAGAGAAGCAGCCTTCGAAACAGCCCTCTTTTCCTGCTTTTTTAACTGCAGCTGTGCCTCGTTCGGCAGCTGAAGTTGAACAAAATCAGGAAATAAAGGTCAGATAAAAGCCCAGATGGGTGGATGGGCAAAAACATCAGCAGACATAGAACCGGTTCAGAGCTACTGGTTCTACAGAGGTGGACAGAACTGGGAGAAACCCACCCCTGTTTCTGCTGCTGATATACTTCTTCTGCTTTGATGAAAACGATGAATCTTTGTCTAAACGGCAGCCAAAGCACTTAAACTTATATCACAGTACTTTTACAGCCCTCTCTAAGCGGTTTACAGAGTCAGCCTACTGTTCCCCAACAATTTGGGTCTTATTATTATTTTTTCCTTGGGTCTTATTTTCGGGGGAGGTCTTTTTCACTGTCTCACCTCACGGCATTGGCACTGACAGCCTGGCCCGGCAGCAGCCCATGTGGCTGCTGCCGGCCCACTGCTTCTGCAGCTGCTTGTCGCTGCTCACGCGAGGCACTTGCTGGCCTTAAAGGCCTCTGATGGCAAAATGGAGGCTGGGGGATGCCATGCGCATCAATCCGGAGCTGGTGTCCCATCTGCAGACGCCTTCAGAGAAGACCAAAATGGAGGACAGGGGCGAAATGAGCCAAGCGGTGGTAAGCGGGTGCAGGAGTGGACCGCCAAGGCGAGGCAGGTGTCGCGGTGTGGGAGGCCTGGCTGCAACTGTCCTAAGGTAAGTGGGTGCAGGGCAGGTGGGGGCAGCTCCACCCTCCTATCCCCCCTATTTTGATTTTTAACCCATGAGCCTTGCCCCACACCTCATACAACCAGGTGCAATGGAATGGGCAGGGTCTTAACTAGGGCTTATTTTTTTGGGGGGGGGTGTGTTACAGCTTATATCAGGCACATGTGTAAAAAAAATCAAGCTAGGGCTTATTTTCAGGATAGGTCTTATTTTGGGGGAAACACCATAATTTGACAATACGTTAATACAGCTGAATGCATATTACTGAAGCACTCATCGATGGTATGATGAGAACATTTCTTCTACCTTTTCTACAATACATAGAAATTGTAGAAATCTCTGCCCTGTTTTCTGTTGTTTGTGTTTTTTTTATCTAAAATAACAACCCTCAAATCCACTGGATCTTTCTTTGCAAGGCAGATGTTCCTACTTTTGATTGCTCCTTAATAAAAATTCCACTGAGGGCACCCCTAAAAGGAATTCCTGTGCATTTTTCCAGCCGTGAAGCAGAAAAGAAGCAGTACACACACCTAGCTCATGCGGGAATTCTTCGCAAAGAATGGCCACCGAGGTGCTGATGCCTTGAAAAACCGAGACGGTGAAGGAGGCGCCAATAGCCAGCCCATCAATGAAATTGTGAAGGCCATCACTCAAGGTTATCATCCAAGCCAGAGTGCCGATGTCTGAGTAACGCACCCCTTTCAACCAATAGCACATGCTTTGAGATGCTTGGAGGTCCTGGGAAAAAAGACATATGACATTAAGAAAAGCTGAAAATCCTTCATGACGGGTGAATCAACAATCCTATAGGGAGCCTACAGGAGGGAGCATTTGTAGTTCAGGGTCTCTGAGCTTGTTGGTTTTCTTGCAGACGTTTCATTACCAAACTAGGTAACGTCATCAGGCAACCGCATCCGACTCTATATGGAGCCTGTGGTCACCTAATCACATTACCTCCTATGATATAATAGGAGACATAAGCATGTACATTGTGAGAATCTAATGTAGGGAAAGGAAATTCAGGTGTTGCCACTGAAACACTTTCCAATATTGCAATGGCAAAAAGTACAATCCTTGCATAAGAAATTCGTTTTACTACTATTCTATTCTACTACTTTACTTACTGCTATTACTAATAGCACAGTGGTTAGAATGCAGCACTGCAGGCTGTTTCTGTTGACCGCTAGCAGTTCAGCAGTTCAATTCTCACTGGCTCAAGGTTGACTCAGCCTTTCGTCCTTCCAAGGTGGGTAAAATGAGGACCCAGATTGTTGGGGGCAAGAGGCTGACTCTGTAAACCGCTTAGAGAGGACTGCAAAGTGGTGTATTAGTCTAAGTGCTATAGCTATTCTTCAAGATTTGTGAGAAAGTAACTGCAGACCAGATATGTTATGCTATAGCTCAAGTATTTTAACCTTCCTCTGGAGCAATAACCTAACATAGATGGTATTTGTTAAATTACAGCTTAATAATTCAAATTTGATTTAAATAATCAAAAGTAGAAATGGGAATCTAGCATGTTGGAATGCAAAACCCCAGCCTGAAGGCACAATATTTATTTCCCAGACAACTTCTAAATCTGATAGACAATCTGAATTAATCTAAATCAGACAATCTAAACCTGAATTACTCTTCTAAGGATAGTGATGGGGAGCTATTCCGTATTTAAATGTGTCCCCGCCAATCCAGAAAAAAAAGAAGTTAAAATGAAACTATTCTGGAACAGCAATGGTGAGAAGCAAAATATTGGAAAACGAATATTTTTCTAACTGATCAAGGGCAGGATGCTAGACATTTTGTGCGAGTGCCCAAACAGGATGCTGTCATTTATTTTTCTATTTTTATTTTGTTTTTTGCTCTTTTTATAACATTGCAACAGAAGGAGTAGCACGGTGGCCCGAAAGTGGAGTTTTCGGCTCACAATCAGGAGGCTGCGAGTTCAATCCCACGTAGAGGCAGATATTTCTCTCTCTGGGCCCAAAGAGAAAATATCTGCTGCAAACTCTGCATAGGTGTCAGGAAGGGTATCCAGCCAGTAAATGCTCAGCTCCATTCAGTCGCCTTGACTGCATCCCGATGCAAGGGATTACAGGATCATTAAAAAGGAAAAAAATACATTGCAATAGAAGAGAATTTGTATCTGAAGCTCAAGGTTAAGCTGTGGGTCTTTAGTGTTTTCTGAGCTTGTTTTCTTGCAGACATTTCATTGCCTGATCAGGTAACATCATCAATTGAGTATGGGATTTGCTCCTCTTTTTTAAAATATAGGGTTGTCAATGGCGAAATTCTTCTCCCTGGTAGTTCCTTGATTAGGATATTGTTTTTTTGCTTGTTAAATGTTAAATGTTAATCCCTGCTTATGTAGCTATTGGCTACTGGAGGGGATGTGTCTTTCCGTCTTAGCCTTTTTATAGACTCTTTTGAACGGTGTGTAAATGTGATTCACTTCTACATGTCTGTTGATGGCTAATTTTCTGAATGCCAAGCTTCCAGGAATTCCTTAGCATTTCTGGATTTAGCTTGGTCCGGGATTTTATTCATATATTTATTAAATTTATTCGTCACCCATCTCACTGTCCTGTTCACAGGTTCTCAGTTGAATCTTAGTTGGGAGATGGACATCTGCAAGCAAGCAACCAAGGACCCTATATTTTTATGTGAACGTAGGGCTTAGGGGGGTTAGTATTTATTTTGTGTTGACACTGTTTGCCATCTAGAGCCTCTAGCAGTGGTAACTGTGTGTGTGTGAGAGAGAGAGAAAGAGAGAGAGACAGAGCCAGAGAGAAAGAGAGAGAAAAAGAAAGACAGAAGAGAGAGAAAGAGACAGAGAGAAATAAAAAGAGAGAGAAAGAGAAAGAAAAAGAGAAAGAAAGCGAGAAAAAAAGAGAGAGAAAAAGAGACAGAAAGAAAAAAGAGAGAGAGAAAGAAAGAGACAGAGAGAAAGACAGAGACAGAGAAAGAGACAGAGAATGAGAAAGACAGAAAGAGACAGAGAGAGAGAGAAATAAAAAGAGAGGCAGAGAGACAAGAGACAGAAAGAGAGAGAGAGAAAGAGAAAGGAAGACAGAGAGAAAAAAGAAAGACAGAGACAGAGACAGAGAAAGAAAGAGATGGAGAAACAGAAAGAGAAAGGGAAAGGGAAAGAGAAAGAAAGAAAGACAGAGAAAGAGACAGAAAGAAAGAGACAGAGAAAGAGAGAGAGAAATAAAAAGAGACAGAAAGAGAGACAGAGAAAGAAAAAGAGAGAAAGAGAAAGAAAAAGAAAAAGAGAGAGAAAAAGAAACACAGAGAAAAAAAGAGAGAGAGAAAAAGAGAGAGAGACAGACAGACAGAAAGAGAGAGAGAGAGAAAGAGGAGAAGAGAGAGAGAGAAGGGCTCACTGGCCCCAAAAGCAACCCTGGTGTAATCATTCACTGACCTGAACAGACAAGGTGCTAACAACCTTCTGATCAGCAGCGGGATTCTTGCATTCCAAATCGCTGCCCTTATTAGGGATCATATGATCTAGGTCTCCATTCTGCAGCTTCTCAGTCACACCTTCTTCCTGGTCCTTCTTAGAAGGGAGGGACTCGCTGCTGTAATGGCTGTGTCCATGAAGGTGCTGGGGAACGCAGAGACAATTTCACCCAAAAAAGGTACATACAATGCCGCCACCACCAGATCCTGCCTTTCTGTGAAAACCTGATGATTATTTCAACAATCATTAAATACATGAACGAATGTAACCTCTCTCGAAGGCGATTTGAAGGACCAGTCAAACACCCGTTACTTGTCCCAGCTTCTGCCAACCTAGCAGTTTGAAAGCATATAAAAATTCAAGTAGAAAAATAGGGACCACCTTTGGTGGGGAGATAACAGCGTTCCGTGCGCCGTTTAGTCATACCAGCCACATGACCACGGAGACATCTTCGGACAGCGCTGGCTCTTCGGCTTTGTAAAGGAGATGAGCACCACCCCCTAGAGCCGGAAATGACTAGCACGGATGTTACCTATCATTGACCAGACCTTTGAGTTGTACCTAGAAAACATGGGCTGATCTTTTAATGCTGCATTAGCGTATCATGACACCATGACCGTATCATGACAACTTAACTTCCAGCTTCCAACAAATGCTTCCAAAAGTTCTTCCAGGGTAGAGCTACATGGAGGACATTGCAGCAATGGAGACGTGAGGCAACCTAAAGAACTTTGGCCAGGTTAGAGTGGCAGGAATTGCCACAACTTGCAAACAACGCATGAGATTCCAGGACAGTAGCAGTCCAGGTGTACTTCTAAGCTAAGGTTTTAATCTCTTGGAGCGAGCAGGTTTCTTTTCCAAACCATTGTGGGCCACAAACCCTGAGACTAGGATTCTACAAAGGACGCTGCCCTCTAATTTGCATTGAATCCCAGCATGTTCATCTCCACCCACCTCATTATTGCCCCTAAGAATTATTGAAGGTTTTCAACTAGCAAATTTAAATCTAAGTGATGACCTCTCTTAGTGTACCGCAGGCTACTTCTGCTGACTGCCGGCTGACTGCAATTTGGCAGTTCGAATCCCACCAGGCTCAAGCCTCCCATCGTTCTGAGGTGGGTAAAATGAGGACCCAGATTGTTGGGGGCAATTATGCTGACTTTGTAAACAGCTTAGAAAGGGCTGTGAAGCACTGTGAAGTGGTATATAAATGCTATTGCTATTGTCCTTCCTTCCTTCCCTCCCCCCCTCCCTTCCATGGTGCACTCTGGTTAGAATGCAATATTGCAGGCTGACTCTGCCCATAGCCAGGAGTTTGATCCTGACGGGCTGAAGGTTGACTCAGCTTTCCGTCCTTCCGAGGTGGGTAAAATGAGGAGCCAGATTGTTGGGGGACAAGAGGCTGACTCTGTAAACTGCTTAGAGAGGGCTGTAAAAGCACTGTGAAGCGGTATATAAGTCTAAGTGCTAGTGCTACTTAAAAAGCAAGAAACAGGAGAAAGCTACTATGGTATTATAGGTTAAAAGCCTTAGGGAGGATACAACATCCTCTTGTCGAGGGCCATCTTTCTAGATACGATCCACCAGGATGGATCTGAATTACTGGGACTGAATCCCCATCCCAGCAGTCCTAGCTGATGGCATCCAAAATCACCATGAGGTCCAAAGACGACTTCTCACTAAGTTCTTGCCTTCTAGGAGGTTGATCAAAAAGTCCCCATCCCATATCAATCAGTGCAAGGTCCATGAGACGAGTTTCATCCAGATAAACATGGTTTGCTATTCACCACAGGACACCACATATTACCCATTATTATAACCCCTGCTATTATTATAGGTGGTTATTTTAGCTTCAATATGGCTATTGCCATATTTTTATACCTCCGTTCAAAACTGCTGTACCGCAGATATTTTGCCACATTTCTAGGCTATGCAACGTGATGCTTAATGCCTAACAATCCACAAAAGTTCATAATCATTAAGTGCCCCGATTACTGTGTTAAAAGGAAATATTTTCCAAATACTTCTTTCTGAACGTTCATGTACGCAATCGTATTCAGCACTTTCACCTATATGTACATTGGAACAATTCTTCTCTCAGATATGATTTGCCTCTTTTGTCCTTTATTGACTGTTCCTTCCAATATCTACTCCATGGGTTGCTCAGCTGTTTTAATTCTGACGTGTCCTACACTTGTTTTGTACCTGTAATCAGTACTGAAAACTTGAAAAGGGGAGAAACGGGGAATTCAAACAAGCAGGCAGGATCTATCTGATACTCTGCACAAAATACATCCCATATTAAAACTGGAAAAGAAACTCAGTATTTCTAAATGCATTTTTACTATTTTTTCTGTTGTAATTGATATTGAGCTGATGGGATTAAACTTTCACAAAATTTTTGAGGCTGTAATAAAAATTTAATTACAAAAACTTCCATAAAAAAAATAATGGTAGACGGGCACTTCAGTTTCTTCAAACGTTTATTACAACCTCTTCAGAAAATAAGCCAGGGCAGATAACTTCTCTGAAAAACAGCTGATTGCACACTTGATCAATATCTCTCAAACTTGGCACCTTTAAGACGGGATGGACTTCAGTTCCCAGAATTCCCCAATCAGCCATTTAACCAGAATTCCCCAATCAGCCGTTTCTCTCTTCTCTCTAGCAGAGGGTGTACTTCTCTCTACGTTCTGGTAAAGAGGAGTTTCCCTGAGGATCGGCTCCAGCACAATGGTGGGGTTCAATTTTTTTTACTACTATTTTTACTGGGTGTGGCTTGGTGAGCGTGGCAGGGGAAGGTTACTTCAAAATCCCCATTCCCTCCCCACCCCACTAACCTGCTTTCCAGCTCCGTTCTCCTGGGCAGGGCAACCAAAGAAGACCCAGCCAATCAGCTGGAACTGGGGAGGCGGAGAATAGATGGGGGCGGGGCCAGTCAGAGGCGGTATTTGCCAGTTCTCCGAACTACTCAAAATTTCTGCTACTGGTTCTCCAAAACTGGTCAGAACCAGCTGAATACCCACCTCTGGTATAGGGTCTCTCCCTTGAGCAGGGTGGGGTTGGACTGATCTCCAAGGTCCCCTTCTAACTCTATTCTGATGGATGGAAAATGCAATTAAATTCCAAAAGGAAAGGAACTAAAGGTTGTGTCAGGAACAACAGAGACTCACCTGATCCTTCTGTTTCAGGAGCATCTTCAGTATTTTCTCAGTGAAAAAAAAGAGATAAAATCCCCCAAAGACAACCGCAGATTTGGAGACATAGTCATCTTTCTGTGGATTGAAGCCAAAGGCCTGAAGGAAATGGGGAGAAAAAGGGTTGGCTGTCAAAAGTATGTATGTAAAAAAAATAAAAAATAAAAAAATAAAATAAAATAAAAATAAAATAAAATAACAAAATAAAATAAAATAATAAAATAAAAAATAATAAAATAAAATAAAATATAAAATATAAAATAAAATAATAAAATTAAAATAAATAAATAAATAAAATAATAATAAAATAAAATAAAATATAAAATAAAATAAAAATCATAAAATAAAATAACAAAATAAAATAATAAAAGAAAATAACAAAATAAAACAATAAAAGAAAAAATAATAAAATAAAATAATAAATAAAATAAAATATAAATAAATAAAATAATAATAAAATAAAATAAAATAATAAAATATAAAATAATAAAATAAAATCATAAAATAAAATAAAATCATAAAATAAAATAAAAAATAATAAAATAAAATAATAAATAAAATAAAATATAAAATATAATAATAAAATTAAAATAAATTAAAATAAAATAAAATAAAAATAAAATAAATAAATATTACCCCTCCTTTTCTATCTAAAGTTCTGTCTTCCTTTCTTCTCACCTCTAAGGGTAGGCCAGAGTGGAGCTAAAAAGCTCCGGAGCTTCAGAATCTACCCGAGAAATGCATTTCCTGATCACGAGTGGCAACTAATTCGTATTACTACCGCGTGTCTCTAAGTTAAGCCCACATCAGATGTCCTCTCACCTTGCTCAGCAACTAACAAAAGCTATCTTTGAATTTGATGGGCTGTAGTCTCTGCTTCTGAGGAGTACATTTTAAACTTCTTGTGTCTAATTATGCTCTGCCTTGTGCACAATTCTAAAACACATTCAACAATACATTCCTTCCACATGGAGACCGTGTCCAAGAGAAAGCTGGACTTGAATTCTGGCATTAGATGTAGGAGGTAAAAATGAGCAAGCTAATCAATCCACATATTTTGCCTGGTGAGTTCCATTTGCAAGCTGAACTTGCACGGTTAAAAAAAATTCAGGACCGTATCAAATAGCAAACCAAAGGAGATTCTTTATGGCCTTTTGCTTGCTTTGAAAGCACAAAAATCATCATTTGATTTTTCAGTTCTATGATGAACCAGCTGATGTGTTGTACACAGTATTAGCATGTGCAAGATATGTTTCCTATTCATTTTAGATCAGATACACTATGGACCTTGTATGTTTTCATGAGGAATACAGGTGTATCGGAGAGATTTGGAACTACCCACCTTTCCCCGAAATTAAGACCAGGTTTTATATTAATTTTTGCTCCAAAAGATGCATTAGGGCTTATTTTATGGTTAGGTCTTATTTTGGGGGAAATATAATATTAAATTCTGTCCATCTGGCTGACTATCTTAGCTGGGGCTTATTTTGAAGGTAGGGCTTTTATTACGAGCATCCTGAAAAATCATGCTAGGACTTATTTCCAGTTGGGTCTTATTTGGGGAAGACCAGGGTAGCGGGGGGGGGGGGGGGGGAAGGGGGGGGAAGCACATACACGGAGCTCCATTTGTGTAAGTGGTGGGCATGCACCCCTGCCACTCGTGCAAATGGAACACACGCACACACACGCTTATGTGTTGCTCGCACAAATGGGGATGTGCATGCATACCAGCTCGCCCGCTGCTTCTGTAGCCTGGTTCTGAATGGCTCACGGCCCGATAGTGGGTCAACGGCCTGGGAGTTGGGTACCCCTGCGTTGTAGAATGTGAAGGCAATTTTCCCCACTGCCTATTAGTCTTCCCCTAACCCTTTTCTTGGGAAATTACTATGGTCAACATATTTGCAGCCAGAGATTTTTAGCAGGGAATTAATCACACTTTGGCTCAAACTATCACAACTGACCCGTGATTTTCTGTTGATATGGGATTCCGGCCATTAAATTGGCACAGGACTTTTAGTCTTGTGTTCCTTATCTTAACTGACATTTGTTCTCAACATGCCCGATTGAGTTAATTTACCCTTACATGAAAACAAAAAATGCCTTCCCAAAAGGCAAACGCCTAAATTAATGGTCCATTGATTCCTTGTTCTAACGGCTCCACAACCCGATATTTAGATGGCTTACATATTTCCACCCTAGGTATAACTGAAGGGAGCTTGGTGGCTCTGTATCACTTCTCCTGAAAGCGATGAACAGCTACCACAAAGCACAGGTCACACTGCACACACCACACAATCATCGACAATTGCACAACGCAGGCCCAAAGGCCCTTGTCCTACCTCAGGGATGAGCTGGAAGAGGGCGTTAGAATAAAGAGTGCCGATTGCCAGAGCTATGAAGTAGAGGAGCAACCGCTTGTAAAAGGTCTTCTTCATGAAAGGAACCACGCTGGCCCCGATCAAGGAACAGAGGGAAATGATGGTCACGCAGAGGAAACCGTATCCCCAGACTGCGTGAGGGTCAACCCCACCCGGATGAAAATCACAGGAGGAAGAATGACATGGGAAGAGGGAAAAAAACAAACAACCAGAACGTACAAAAATGAATTCATACCAGGGGATGAAAAGGGGAGACAGGGAACAGAAGACAGGGAGAGGGAGAGAGGGAGGGAGAGAGAGAGGGAGGGAGAGAGAGAGAGGAGATATTTATTAATGATTGATACACAAATCAAGATTGATTCAGGCATGCTTGAAGCACTCTTGGGCACTATGGAAAGCTCCTTCTTGATGGGAAGTCCAACATGGTCCAGGAGAAGGGTTGGCTGTGGCTCTTGTCCTTTGGAACATCTCACCCCTTGAGGTAAGATGGGCTCCCATCCTTCTGACCTCTGCCAGGACCCCAGGACCTGACGGTGCCAGATGATCTGGGTTCCCAACGAGGGAGCATCATCACCCTGGAGATGGCTGATGAGTTAAGAGGTAATCCCATCTCCTTCCCATGCGTCTTGGTCCCTTCTCCCTGTTTTTTTTTTCACTGTCATTTTATTTTGATTGGGACTTCCATTTTTCTCATTTTAGAAACGTTCCTCCATTAGGGTGTTAATGTTTTTAAGGCAGTAAGCTGCCCAGAGTCATTTTGATATGAGAGGGGTGGCAAATTAATTAATCAATCAAGTAAATAATAAAAACACAAGAGAGGCGAAGAGACCCGCCACAGACCATGAAGATCAATAAATTTAACCTCGCTATAAGGATCTGTAGTAAAAATCCAATAATTTGCACCGGATTGGAAGTTCTGCCCAATTTTACGGCGAGGGCCTGCTCACCACGATCCAAGTCACAATGTTCAGACTGATGCTGAAGCTTTAAGTCTCCAGCCAGGTGGACTTCCAAGTTGTCCTTCCTGGTCCACTAGGAGGACATTTTTCCCAAATCTGTTCTGCACGTAGACTCAAGAAGGAGATGACGTGCCAGAGCCCAAGAGTGATACAGGCAAAACACAAGCCATCCCTTGCCTGGGTATGTGTTCTCTATTATAGGACAAGCAATATTTGTACTGAAATATTTGTTGCCCGAGGCACAGAGATTCTTAATTGATTGGCACCGTCGCATTGCAACAGTTTTTAACAAGGCAATTTAACAATGGAGACCATTATTTCTGTTCCTGTTGGATCACAAAGGCGTATTTTAATTTTCAAGCAACAAAACATTACGTTTACGGTTTGGGAACGAAAATATCCATGAACTCTAGGGGAAAAAAAGGATTACATAAAACAATGCTATCGGTAGCCTGGCATTATCCATATAAAATGAAAGTTGAAAGGATTCTGAAGGAATAGTACTGATTTCTTTTTATTACTTTCTTTTTTTCCCCCCCCCCAAATGAGAGAAATCAATTTTGTAAGAAGACTAGTACAGATACTATAAAAATAATCTTTCCCACAAAGGGCCAAATGAACTCTCATTTTTTTACCTCATGTTTATCTATGCATGTTTATCTAAGTTGAGCCAGAAAACAATTACGACTTAAAAACCTGCAACTAGAGTTCATGGCTATATTTAAGGCGTCCCCAAAACGTACAATCAAAAACCACAATTTACTAAAGATTACATCTCACACAGCGCCAAGAAAACTCCTCCATTCATGAAAATAAACCAATTACTGGAAGAGGAACCGATAAAGAAACCCGAGAAGTCAAGATAAAAGGACGTCCTCCCATATATACAGGTGCCAACATGGTGTTTGGTCCTTCCTTTTACAAAAGCAAGTGACCTTTATGGTGCTCTGCCACAGTGGTTTTCCCACCTACATTGTTGAACAGGCCAAAAAGACACTGCAGTGCTAAAAAAAACCCTGGAGTTAAGTCCATGTGCCTCTCATTTATAATCATGCTCTTTGGAAATGCAACCAAGGTAGCTTCCATTTATAGTCAAAGCTTATTAAGAGGCAGAATCCTTCAAGAACCTCCCACTCTTAATATGCACTACGGACAAAATCACAGTATTTATTTTTTCTGGAATGGAGAGCTACGCAGTTTGGCAGTTCGGGTCTCACCAGGCTCAAGGCTGAGTCAGCCTTCCGTCCTTCACAGGTGGGTATTGCCCCTAAGAATTACTGAAGGTTTTTAACTAGCAAACGTAGATCTAAGTGATGACCTTTCTCAGAAGATTCATATACTGTAGATATTAGTGTACCACAGGCTACTTCTGCTGACTGCCGGCTGACTGCAATTTGGCAGTTCGAATCTCACCAGGCTCAAGCCTTCCATCGTTCTGAGGTGGGTAAAATGAGGACCCACATTGTTGGGGGCAATTATGCTGACTCTGTAAACAGCTTATAAAGGGCTGTGAAGCACTGTGAAGTGGTATATAAGTGCTATTGCTATTGTCCTTCCTTCCTTCCTTCCTTCCTTCCTTCCTTCCTTCCTTCCTTCCTTCCTTCCTTCCTTCCTTCCTTCCTTCCTTCCTTCCTCTGCCAGTAGTTCAATCCTGACCGGCTCAAGGTTGACTCAGCCTTCCATCCTTCCGAGGTGGGTAAAATGGGGACCCAGATTATTGGGGGCAAGAGGCTGACTCCATAAACCGCTTAGAGAGGGCTGCAAAGCACTGTGAAGCGGTACATAATCTAAGTGCTATTGCTATCTAACCAGAGGGGACCTTTTAGATTTTTGTCATACGAAGCAGCCAACATGTCCCCTGTGCAGGCACAGAAATCATGCACACGCCTGGACATACCACACGAAGCAGAGCTTTTATTCCTCCCTTTATTTTTAGGGAACCTCCCTGGGCCCGAGAGGTGAAAAATCCAATTTCAAAAGCCACTGAGAATTCAAGCAGCCGATCGGGTGGGTGTGATGGGGTTGGGAACCTGTGAGCAGGTGGGGGTTTGTTCTTACTGCACCTCTGGGATCAGCTGGAACAGGGCGTTAGAGAACAGGGTCCCGATGGAGAGCGCGATGAAATAAGTTAGGATGCGTGTGAAAAAGACCTTCTCAGTACAGGGCACGATGAAGACTCCAAGGAGGGAGGCAAGGTTAATCAGCGTAACACTGAGGAAACCAAACCCCCACACTGTAAACAAGAAGAAAGAAGGGCACGTTTACCCAAGTAATTTTGAAAACTGGGAATGGGCCTTTAAACACAAGGGATGTTGGAAAGGTCTAAGGCTCTAACCCGGGTATCGGCAACCCGCGGCTCTGGAGCTGCATGCAGCTCTTTGGGCCCTCTGCTGTGGCTCCCTGTTGGGTGATCCCACCACTGGCTGGCTCTGCCCCTCGCCCTTCCCTCCCAGTCACTCCTCAAGTTTTACCTGAGGAGGTAAAACACAAAAAAAAAACAGAAAGGAGAGGGAAGGAGAGAGATCCATTTCCCACAGAAAACACCGGAAGCCACAAAACCTGGGTAGGCGTGGTCGTGTGACTGGGTGGGAGTGATGTTGAATTGGCCATGCCCACCCAGGTTTGGAGGCTCCCGGTGTTTTCTTTTCTGTGGGAAATGGGCCCAAATGAGTGTTTAAGGTTGCAGACCCCTGCTCTAACCTAATCCCTCAAAAGTTCTTTTGCAAGTTGACTTGGAAGTTTTTGAGGAGCAACTTTTCCAACCAGCTGGCTAATTCCCCGCATTTTTTTTTTCCTCCAGGGGGTGGAGGAAGCTGTTCCATTTTATACTCAAATTTAATCCATGAACCGTGTCAACAGATCAGACCCAGGCAGGGGAGTTGACATGTAACATGACGAGGCTAAAGCTTGATGTTGAAAAACAAAGTTCTCATGGAAAATTTGGACCTCTGTTTTGAAAGAGAAAAAGCCCTCATCACAATGTCATCCAAGTTAAGCCAATCAGTAAAAGTTTGGCTTGGATTGCTTAGCTTATAGCCAAAACAAACCCGCCGTGGTACTGTGACCGCCAAAAAAAGCAATATGGGTTAATTATTTTTTTTAAAGAGGAACTTGGATAAAATATGTCAAAACTGCGTTTGTTAACTATGGACCTAATTGTCCTGCTTGCAGACTTCTCTAAATGAGAGGAATCGTGCTCAGATCATTTCAGACCTTGTACATAACGTCTTCAGCATCCTATTTAGAGACCCCCATTCCCCAAACCCACCCAAAGGATGGGATCAACATTTTTCTACATCCCTTCGTTGCTGTTTTTGGTGGGGCAGATTGAAGGGATTAAATTGTATTTTAAGCCTGCAAAGGGGATAAGAAACCTGCAACACCCATGAAAACCCCTAAATTTCCATTAGAAAAATTGGAATTTAAGGGACCAAAAGAGGCACCTGGATTTTGCATGAACCATCTGTTGATGACTGGCCCATGCTTTCATGCCTAAAGTGGAACTAGAACTCATAGCCTCCTTGTGATTGGCCCAAAGTCACCCAGCTAGCTTTTCTGCCTAAGGAGGAACTAGAATTCACCATCTCCTGGTGACTGGCCCAAAG